AAGCAGGACGTCCCAATGCGTTCCCTGCCGAGGAGGCTCGACCGAGCGCTTCAATTGGCGCAGCGGCCATCTGTTCGCATTCTGTAGGGCATAGATTCGACGCAAGGTACGGCAGTCCATTTGCTCTTGGTATTCAAGGAGGTGGTTGGAAGTTGTAAGTGTCTTGTGAGCTGAACCCAGCAGTGTGCTAAGATTGGCTCCTCGAGGAGGAGCATATGCCTTGTTCTGAAACAAGGTGAATAGATAGTCCTGCTCTTCGTTCAACCTAGCTAATTCCCCCGCATATTGGCGGACAATATCCAAAGAATCATCCTTTTCTTGTTGCTGTTGTTGCTGTTGCTGCTGCTTGGGGAAAACGACAGTCGACAGCTTGCTCCTCTCTTTCTCTCGTGCCTTTCTATCTTTCAAGCGCATCTTCGCTGCAGATTCGGGCGAGGCGCTAGGCGGAGCCCGAACAATATCAGCAGGTTTCTCCATCGGATGAGCTTTCTCAGGTTGCGCGACAGACGGTTTTGGAGTCTCGCCGAGTATCTCAGATACTGACTTGTGTCGGATGGCCCCAGATGATACACGAGTTGTCATACGTTCTGGTTGAGCAGGAATCATAGCCGTCGCCGCCGTTGGCTTCTTCCCAGCCGGAGTTGTTGGCGCAACCGCCTTAACTTCAGCACCAACTTGAGGCTGGGTCTCTTCCTGTATACGCTGTGACGGTGGCTGGGACTCCTCGGGAGTGACAACAACTCCATCTGGCCTCTTGGGTGCAGGAGGCACTACAGATGCGGAAGTCTGGTCTTGTGTCTCTTTTAATGGATCGACTGCCGCAGACGGGGTGGGACCAACATCCTCTTTGATTACTTCATTGGACAGACTGCTTGCCGTTGTAACGTCGCCGATCGACTTGCTTGCTGAGGTGCTCTGTTGAAGAGATTGCGCCGCCTCCAGCTGAAGCTGTTCGTCCGGCGTGGACGGGACCAAGCTTGGCTGTAACTGTACCGTTCCAACATGTTTCGGGCTCCGCGCAACTTGATCCGCTCCTTCTGTAACTTCCTCGGCAGGGCTGGTATCAGGGGAGACAGCGACAGGAACGGGAGTGTTGTTGGAATAAGGACCTGCGGACGAGGCGGGTGAGAGAGGTTGATCTTCCAAAGACTGGGCCAATACTAGAGACGGCCGACTTTCAGGCTTTCTTTGCGCAGATGGTAGTTGTTTTGAGGTCGCGCGCGGAGGCGCGACTTCGCTGGGGGGCTGCTCTTTCAGAGCCGGAGAAACGCTGACATCCACAGATTCGTGGCTGGTACTTGTAGGTGGAGATTCAGGCACCGGAAGGCTCGCCTTTTGTGGCAGTTGGTCAGGTTGCGCAGACGTCGCAGGTGACTTGTCGACCTGCGTGATTTCGGAAGTTACAGCGAGCGCCGGCTGCTGGTGGATGCGCGCATCATCCTTCTTAAGCGAATCTTCAACCAGTATCTGTTCAATCACCTGTGCAGGCTGTCCCTCCCGCTGCTGGAAACCGGGCGCGACGCCTCGAACGGCACCTTCCGCTTTAGAAGGCCCATTGACAGATGAGACATCATGTGTTTGCACAGCTGGGTCTATTACCTCCGGTGATGTCTGCTGTTCTTCAGGGCGCGGGATGAGAGCTGCAAAGTCGGGGAATGGTGGAAGAGTAGCTTCATTGAAATAGCGACCTCTATAGATGTATTAGGAATACGCAAAGAATTCGAATACCGGCATGTAATGCGTAATACGAGGAATGATTCAAAGAAAATAACAAATAACGACAGATAAAAAGTAAGAACGAATGCGTGTAATATCGAGTGAGATGCAGTATAGTTACTTACTTAGAGAGGTCGTTGGCGTCAAGAAACGTCTGTTCTTTTTGGTGATATAGCGCATTGGTCGGAGCGTTCTCGGTCGCGCCCGCGAAGCCTACGGTCGCAAAGTAGAGCTCGCTCAGTTTGCGCTTCCGCGACAACAAACAACGTCTGAAAAAGAATTAAAATAAGTAATAATTCGATATTAGGAGATCATATACAGTAGAAAAAGTCGCTCAAAAATATCAAATACTTACGCGATCTCATCGTTCTTGGAGCGGAGTAGCTCGTCACGGAGCATCGAGTCTATTTCGGGAACACAGCATCCGATTAACGCGCTAAAAAGAAGGGGATGGTTTGAGCGAAGTCATCCAGATGGAAAAAGTCGCTCAAAAATGATGAAGCTGGTGAGGTTGTGTGGTTATGTGATGAAGAAAAATTGAGACGCGAAGATTTCACCGTTGAAGGGATTTTTGGGGTGTGGTGATGAAACTTCTGAACGGGTAGTACGGGTGAGTTTGGTTGGTTGATTCTGGTTACTGCTTGGTGATGGGGAGGGCAAGTGTTAGGTATGAAAGGGTGCCGGGAACAGTCTTGTTAATGGCGTTCAGGTAGGGGGCAAGACCAAGCAACAAAAGAGTACCTCTCGTATGTAAGTCAGGAATGAGATCAGGGGTGTTGTTGCAGCCTCAGGCGTCAAGGCTATCAACTTCAGAGCGTCCACTATGACCGCATTCGGATTCAGTACCAGACTACCTACCTTAGGAGTAGTGGTGACCGCGCCACAGGCATCAAGGCCGCCTCCTCAAACTGTCACCGCCTAAGACTGCGATAAGTCTGGCAGAAAAAAAAAGTTATCCGTTTTCCAGCATTATAGGCGTTGAACTGTTGATATTACCTTAGATCGCTTAAGCCACATCGTTGAAGGAATCACTGAATAAACACAGTCATGGCTAAGCGCAAGAGGGAACAATCTTCCAAGGATACGCAAGCTTCTGCGAAGCCGACGAAAGTTGTCAAACCATCCGCAGCTCAAAATGTTGTCTCGTCTGGTGCGGCCAGTCCTGCGGTCACTTTGCAGATAGTCACTGGGTCTTATGAGCGTGTGCTACATGGCTTTACTGCTGCTGTTTCTCAAGCCTGCTTCGACTCTACAGATTCTCATGGAGCTGAAACCGACAAAAATTTAGTTCAATTCGTCGATACTTTTCTGTTCGAAGCTCATGCGTCTGCTATCCGTTGCCTTGCTTTGTCTCCGGTGCCAAAGAAAGATTCTACCGAACCACCCAAAGTCATCTTGGCCAGTGGAGGCACGGATGAGCGAATCAATCTCTACTCGTTGTCTGCCGCTCCTCAAACGGTGAATGAGCATTATCCAACAGTTCCGACCCTTGCTGGAAATAAAGTCCTCGAGAACCCGAAAAACCGAGAACTTGGCTCTCTTCTACACCACAGTGCTTATATCTCCGCCTTGCATTTCCCTTCACGCTCCAAGTTATTGGCTGCTGCGGAGGATAATACCATTTCTGTCACGAAGACTCGCGACTGGACAGTTGTCTCCACTATCAAAGCCCCGCGTCCCAAAGTCCAGGGGCGACCAAGTGGTGACACTGCGCCGCCCGGAGCCGCTCCCTCGGGAGTCAACGATTTCGCAGTGCATCCCAGTATGAAGCTCATGCTCTCTGTTGGTAGAGGAGAAAAATGCATGAGACTTTGGAATTTGGTGACAGGAAAGAAGGCTGGGGTGTTGAACTTTAGCAAAGAAATCCTGCAAAGTGTGAAGGAAGGTCGCTGGAGCACTGGCGAAGGCAGAAAGATTGAATGGAATTCAAAGGGTGAAGAGTTCGCAGTTGCATTTGAATGGGGAGCCGTCGTCTTTGGAATAGTGAGTCTTCCTTTCGACCGTCTGAATCTGCGCGAGCAAGTCTAACGATTTATAGGATTCGACACCCGTTTGCAGGGTGCTACCAAGTCCACGAAGCAAGGTGCATCAGATGAAATACGTCGCCCTTGATCCCTCTGCGGAAGATGGCGAGGAGCTGCTTGCTGTCTCCACGGAGGATGGCAGAATCATATTCTACTCAACTAAGAAGTTACAGAAGACTGCAGATGACGACGAATCTCCAATTCCTTACGCTGAAGATGTTGCTGAGCTCGGTGGCAGGACATCTGGCTTTCCCGGGAGAGTCAAAGATTTCGAAATCCTGAATGTGGGAGATGAGTCCACCGCACAGAAGGGCGATCTTCTTGTGGTTACCGGGAACAGCGAGGGTCTTGTGCGCGTATGGATGCTGCGCGCGAATAGTCTCATTCGTAGTACGAAGGAGAAGCCGAAGCCGGAGGCTTCTGATGACAAGAGCCAAGGATCAAGGAATCTACAGGTTGGAAAACTCTTGAACGTCTATGAGACAGGGAATCGGATAACCTGCCTCAGGGCCTTCATAATGCTACCCCCAGACCCCTCAACGCTTGATGATTTCGAAGAGAGCTCGGAAGACGCCATTGAGGAGGACGAAGAAGAGGAGGAGGAATCCAGCGAAGGCAGTGACGAAGAATGAATGTACATAGCTTCCAGTGATATTGTTCTATATACCCGACCATGAGCTCATAGACCACCGGATGTATATTACTAAAAGCAGCACAAGTTGTTCAACTATTTTCCTAGAATGACTGAGCAAACATCAAGGTTGTACCATACCATAAGGATGCTATCATGACAGTTAATTATGCTGAGCTCATCTACCAGTTGACATGAGTCATTCAAGTGTGGCATTGAAGAGAGCGAACAGGTGTTTAAGCTCGGTAAGATAGAAAGATCAACCAACTTTATTCCTTCGTCAGGACCGGTATATCCGAGTTCTCATGCGAGAGAGAATAATAATAATATCTCGAATTTGCCGAGTTTACAGATAGATTGACCTGTTCTTTTCTCGATTGACCGTATCAACCCAACGCAGCTGGCAGCCCACAGGGCACGAAAGACGCTTCCACCGCCCACTCACACTCCACTGCACAAACCAGAACCCCACTGGTATCATATCGCCTCCGTTTTCCAAGCAAGCAAATTTCGTCCAACAACGGAACCCTTGATTATCACCCCTCCACTCTCGGACTAACACCTTCCTTTAACCCCAAGGATTTTCCATCTCTCTGTCCGTGAACAATCAAAGGGTTATTATCGCAATCATGGCTACCAACGGCGATTTTACCGACGATGAATCGCAGCCTGGCTCTCCCATGCTGGATGCGGCGAACGGCCAGGATGACATTGAAGAACAGGAACCTCTTGATGTGGAAGAAAAGCCCCTCAAGTCTGCGATGAAGAAAGGCTCAGCGCCCCCTGCTCCTCAGCCGAAGCGTCCAGAACTCCCCGAGCAGCCCGACCCAGAGACTCTCGATTTGTCGACACTCACGCCTCTGTCGCCCGAGATTATCGCGCGCCAGGCCACAATCAACATCGGTACTATCGGACACGTCGCTCACGGCAAGTCGACTGTGGTGAAGGCTATTTCGGAGGTGCAGACTGTCCGGTTCAAAAACGAGTTGGAGCGGAATATTACCATCAAGCTTGGTTATGCCAACGCGAAAATCTACAAGTGCGACAACCCTGAGTGCCCGCGCCCGACGTGCTTCAAGAGTTACAAGAGTGAGAAGGAGATCGACCCTCCATGTGAAAGAGAAGGATGCACAGGTCGTTACAGATTGCTGAGACATGTCTCGTAAGTCAACAAGTTTTGCGTTCGTGTCTCGAAGGGAACTAATAGCTAATCCTCGTTACTCACAGGTTCGTCGACTGCCCTGGGCACGATATTCTCATGAGTACCATGTTGTCAGGTGCCGCCGTCATGGACGCCGCCCTTTTGCTGATTGCCGGAAACGAAGCTTGCCCCCAGCCTCAGACTTCGGAGCACTTGGCAGCTATTGAAATCATGAAGCTCAGCCATATCATCATTCTGCAGAACAAGGTTGATCTGATGAGGGAAGACGGTGCTCTGCAACATTACCAATCAATCCTGAAGTTCATTCGTGGTACTGTTGCCGATGGCTCTCCTATCATTCCAATCTCTGCTCAGCTCAAGTACAACATCGACGCTGTCAACGAATACCTTGTTTCGCACATCCCGGTTCCAGTCCGTGACTTCACTGCGTCCCCTCACATGATTGTCATCCGTTCCTTCGACGTCAACAAGCCCGGTGCGGAGATCGATGAGTTGAAGGGTGGTGTTGCAGGTGGCTCTATCCTCACTGGTGTGCTGAAGCTCAACGACGAGATTGAGATTCGCCCCGGTCTCGTTACCAAGGACGAGAATGGCAAGATTCAGTGCCGCCCCATCTTCTCCCGTGTCGTCTCGCTCTTTGCTGAGCACAACGATCTGAAGTTCGCTGTCCCTGGAGGTTTGATCGGTGTCGGAACCCGTGTCGACCCTACCCTGTGCCGTGCCGATCGTCTCGTCGGTTTCGTCCTGGGCCACCGTGGCCGTTTGCCGGCCATCTACACTGAACTGGAGGTCAACTACTTCCTGCTGCGTCGCCTGCTCGGTGTCAAGACTGCCGACGGCAAGCAGGCCAAGGTTGCCAAGCTCACCAAGAACGAGGTCCTCATGGTTAACATCGGCTCTACGGCCACTGGTGCTAAGGTTATGGGTGTGAAGGCTGATGCTGCCAAGCTCAGCTTGACCAGCCCGGCTTGTACAGAGATTGGAGAGAAGATTGCTATCAGCCGGAGAATTGACAAGCATTGGCGTCTGATCGGCTGGGCCAATATTGTCGCGTAAGTCATCCTGACTCCCCATCGTTGATATGGATTCATATAACTAATCCGTTACAGTGGTAACACTCTTGAGCCCATTCTGAACTAGACAAAATTCGCTTGTCAGGTCAATTGGGTCGATCCGCCCGTGGAGCTGTTGAGGGAGACATTTGGGGTCCCAGCTCACTCGCATTCCCCGATTCTTCGCCGGCAGATCTAGGCGGTTGAAGCAGCAGAAAAGAAAAAGTTGATTACTCGAGGTCACGAAGAGCGTCGGGATTCACTCCAGTTTAGAGGACACAGGAAGCTCCGACATTCATCTCTTCCAGCCGTTGGAGCTCTGAGGAGGTTGTTTACGAGATGCAGAGACGGCCGTACTTAAGGGGTTCTTAAAAGGTTAGAGGCCGTCTGTTTTGGTAGAGACATGGGTGCATAAAAGGATGAGTCACGTTGATGAAGTGCCACTACTTCTGTGATGTGTTTTATGAAGCTGTTCTTATGTGAAATCTTTCTATTTTCTTTTATATATTTGTTGCTTTGTCTCCTACTGTGGAGTACATATGTAGATGCTTTGCCAGGTAACCGATGAAGTATCGAAGCGAACAACAGGATGGTGAGAAGTTAACCCATATGACCAAAGTTGAATATGCGATATATACAGAATAAACTATCAAACCAGTATAGTTGTAGATCTCAAAGATCATATCCATTCATGCCCTGAAAAGTATGCGATTGAACATTCTTTGTTCTGTCAGCTGGAGATGCGGCCAGTTTGCACTAAGTGGTTGTTGACTAAGACATTAAAATCACCATCCATCAAGCGGGAGTACTTGCATCTGTCAACACCACAAGGCTGCGAACAACAGGTTAACAACACAGCGCCTTGTCCAAATCGTCTGTTGTTGTGCTGAATTTTCAGCCATGTATATCCTCGAGGTAAGCTCTCCGAGCTCGTCCCTTTGTAGCCACCTAACTATGTTCTGTTGATATTGTTCATGCTGTACCTTGCTCGCTCAAGCTGACCGAACGATTCTGCCCTCGACAGCAACTTGCGCGTCTTCTGGACCGCCCGCTCTTCCCCTGGAAGAATGTTCTCGTGGGTTTCTCTTTAGGTCAATTCATTCTCGAAGGATTCTTGTCCTTCCGGCAATACAAGGTGTTGCAGCGGACAAAGCCACCCAAGGTGTTGGAGAATGAAGTGTCACAGAAAGTCTACGATCAGAGTCAGGTAAGCAGAGATGGTAATATTGTTATTGTAAGATTGCAGGTCTGATGTGTTCGTCCTTCTCTATAGGCGTATGGTCGCGCAAAAGCCAAGTTTGGTTTCATATCGGGTCTTTACGGTCAAATCCAGAATCTTGCATTCATCTACGGCGATGTCCTCCCCAAGCTCTGGGGATTGAGCGGTCTCTTGCTGGCCCGGTACTTCCCCTCTCGGTTTCAGGGTGAGATTTCGCAGACGCTTCTGTTCATCTTCGGTTTCAACCTGATCAGCACCGTCCTGTCCCTGCCAATTTCATACTACAATACCTTCGTTCTAGAGGAGAAGTTTGGCTTCAACAAGCAGACCCTCAAGCTCTGGGTCACGGACATGCTCAAGGGTCAGATGCTGGGAATTGTATTGGGAACCCCGATTATCAGCGCCGTGCTTAAGATCGTCCAGAAGACTGGCAACTCGTTCTTCTACTACCTGTGGCTCTTTGGTGTCTTCGTTCAGATCTTCGCTATCACCATCTACCCCATTGTCATCCTGCCACTGTTCAACAAGCTCTCGCCACTAGAACCTGGCGAATTGAAGACAGGCGTTGAGAACCTCGCCCGCAAGCTCAGCTTTCCTCTCCATGAGCTGTATGTCATTGACGGCAGCAAGCGGAGTGCTCACAGCAACGCGTACTTCTACGGACTGCCGTGGAAAAAGCACATTGTCATCTATGATACTCTGATTGAGAAGAGCGAGACTGAGGAAGTCGTCGCCGTCTTGAGTCATGAACTTGGTCACTGGAGCCTCGGCCACACTACTAAGCTTTTCGCCATTGCTCAGGTACGTGTTTACTGAACAGCTTCTTGATATCGCGCCATTATGGAGACACAGACGTGCACAGATGAAGGCTGATGGTCTATGTTATAGTCTCACATGTTCTACATCTTCGCCCTATTCTCGGTTTTTGTGAACAACAAGTCCCTGTATCAATCATTTGGCTTCCACCAGGAAATGCCCATCATGATTGGATTCCTCCTGTTCTCAGATGCTCTAGCCCCCATGGATGCTGTCATCAAGCTCTTGATGAACATTCTCAGCCGCAAATTCGAATTCGAAGCTGGTATGATTGCTGTCCTCTTGTACCTCTTTAGAAACAGAAGCTGACTGCGCCACAGATGCCTTCGCCGTGAAGCTCGGGTATTCCGAACAGCTTGCCGCGTCCCTTCTCAAGCTTCAGATCCAGAACTTGAGGACCATGGACGCCGACTGGATGTATGCCAGTTACCACTACTCTCACCCTATCCTATCCGAGCGACTCAAGGCGCTTGGCTGGCAGGGAGGAAAGGTCACCGACGCGAAGACGGAAGATAGTGAAAAGCCGGTCAAGGCTGCTGACCGGGAGCTTTAAACTCAACTGATTCTCATCGCTCGATATAAGTCCTTTCTCCTGTTTCGTTCCGTTGACGGTATTAGGTGGCGGCTGGGGTAAAAAGGTGTCCGTTGGCTGTAGAGGGAACGTCGATTTGATTCTAGTATAACAGCGAAAACTCCATACCCTGTGTGATGTAATATCATCCAAAAACAAACGCCAATAGCAAGACCCGGGTCCTCTTTATTGAGAACCAACCAATTGGACGGAAAATCCATCAGCAGAGCGATGCAAGTAAACCCAAATGAAGCTTCCAGCTGGATTCAATCTATGCCTCCGCGCCCTTGGCTTTAGCTCTCTTCTCAGCCAAGCGGCGCTCCTTCTTTTTCCTCTTACGCTCCTCCTTGTCCACGGTATGCTCGTCAGTCTCACCCTCTACCCTCCCAAGCTGCTGCCCTTTCTCCTCGTCATCTTCCCCTCGCATCTCCTCATCGTCATCCATCGCATCATCAGCTGCCACCTGCTCATGCTTGGTCGGATCCTCCCACACGACATTATCCCCGCTCTCACCCTGCAGCGCCTCCCCGGCATTGATCTTTGCCAGAGTCAAATCACGGCCCAGAACCTCACCAGCCAACCCGGCCTGGACGCGCTTCAGATTATGCAGAATGAGGTTCGGCGCTGCGGCTGTGGTGCGGGAGATAGGGCCGTGCTCGCTGATGCTAGCGTTGGGTTGCAGGGCCGGATCTGTGGCGGCGCGGTCGAGATAGGCGGCGAGGAAGTCGTGGGCGGCGGACTGGGAGATGGGTTTCGAGGACAGGATGGTTGTTGGAGGAAGAGGGGAGGGGCCTTGAGTTGCCATTTTTGAATCTTCTGAGCTTGTTCTGAGGCTTGTTGCCTGCTCAGTTGATTTCGTGAAATGTAAATCGAATTGGTTTGCAATGGAAATGTAGTGTCGCAAGTGGATGGTTAAGGGAGAAGTTTGGTGACTTGGCGCAATTGATGAGCGTATATCCCAGCAGCCTTGAATGGGTGGTTCTTTGTATAGAATGGACTCGGAGAAATCGAGTGTAGCGAAAGCGATAAGGATGAAGGTCTAATCATGAAATCTTGAAGCATCAAATTGAAAAGAAATCTGCTGGTCCGTGCGTCCGCTGCGCCGGAGGTTCAATTTTCGTCCGCCTCAACTGTCAGTCAATGTCCAATAGCCTCAAGACTCAGCGACCATCACCGACTCCGCAATATTCAGCGGTCCATTCAATACGTTTCTGGGAGAAAAGGATCACGGACTATTTAATTGTTCAGATCTTGTGAAACTTCAACATGCTCTGCTTCCAATGTAGGGCCGTGCCCTCCGCACTACGAACTGCAATGCGCTCCCAGCCGTTTAGGTACGTCCTGTCAATACTATCAGAGTATTCTTTCGACTTCAAGACATTCCGCCGGCTATTATATCAGACTATGACTTTTGAGTTAACAATTATAGCAACAGACTCCCGACTCAGACCCTCACCACCTCCCTATTAACACCACTCCGCACCTTTTCATCCGCTCTTCGTTCACAACCGACCCCGTTGACGCAGAGTCTCCCCTCATTCCGCACATCTCTCACATCCGCCTCTTCGTTGCCATTCGGTCTGACGCAGCAGACTCGGTCATTCTCTGCCAGTGCGTCGCTTGCCGGTAGACGTGCTACCTACAATCCCTCACGAAGAGTGCAGAAACGTCGTCATGGGTTCCTTGCGCGGCTGCGGTCGGGGGGAGGGAGGAAGATCCTCCAGCACCGGAGAGCGAAGGGACGGAAGTCGCTGAGTTGGTAGAGGATTTGCTTTTTGCGGTGGTCATGATTTTTGAGGGAATTGTACGGGAATCGACATGGGCTCTGTCTGGCTGGATGTCGAGACTCGATGGATCTGGAGATGGTCCAGTCTCCATTCTTTCTGGAGTTTATCAGGATTGTGTTCCTGTGTTCGCGGTGGTTGAGAGAACGAGATAGCTATTCAATCGCTGTGGTGATATAGATCGATTGGATAGCTGGTGTGCATCTTGTGTTTGCTGGGACAAGATGCTTTTTTCACGTGTACCATATACATACAGATATCAGGTCCTTACATTATACTTCGGTTTGCGTCCATTATACATACGGTCTGTCATTCCAGGGCCAGGATCTGGACCGAAGAAGCCATCAACCTTGGCATCTTTTATATACAGGCAAACGATCAATCAGGTACCAGCATAGCGCAAAGTCTTACTGCCATCAGGGCGCAGATTCTTCTGATATACATACCAAAAGTACTGTGGGTATAAATGCTAAAATTGCGGAGACAAATCATGCAGATGTAAACACCACTCATCTATCCCAGTCTCACCGCACTTCGTGCTTCCCCGTGTGAACGCCGTCCAGCTCCGCCACAACCAGGTGTCGCTGCTGCTGCGAGTCTAACTCTGAGGGATGCTGGGCTCGAGCCACCGGAGGATAGACACCGAACTGAGACCTTGGCAAGAAGGTGGAATTGTTCTGCTCCGCTGCGAGTCGCTTCTTCCTGCGCAAGCGCACCAGAAACAGCGCGAGTAGACATCCTACGACGGCAACACCTACCCCGACACCGACGCCGATCGCTATACTCGTCGTTGAGCCTGACCTTGAACTGTGCGGATCGTTGGAGTTTGAGGCTGCACTCGTGGTGGGGGTCGACGTTATCGACGTCTCTTTGCTTGTTGTTGCCGTGGATGTTTTCCTGGAGGACTCTGTCGTTGTTGTCGCCGTTGAGGTGGGTTCTATACCCGCCGTCGCAGTGACGGTGGGTTCGTCCAGGGTGAATTTCAAGTACGAGGCCTTGGTACAGCAGTCATCTGCAGAGCAGCAGTAGTTGTTGGTGGTATTGCCGCATCGCATCACCCATTCCCCACCAGAGGGATTATCTGCAGGAAGAGTTCGAATGAGTGAAGCACGGCCAATTAGTGGGTTGTAACTCGAGGCTCACCTGCAACACAGTGTCCCTGGCATTCAGGCGCAGCCCACGTCTTGTCTGTGCAGGTCCCTCTGATGAACTGGAGCGGATTGCCGTCGGAGCCATCCCACCAGCCTGCGGGCTGGCAGAGTTGATTGGAAGTGCAGAGGAAGCCCTGCGTACAGCAGACACTGGCCGAGGCTGACGCGTTGCATGGGCGATCGTTCGATATCGTCCCGTCAGGCGTATAGCAATTCGTCGCTGAGACGGAGGGGACCGTCGAAAGCAATGCCAGAAAAATGAAGCTGGCATTGACCTGGCGACGAAATAGTAACCATGTCGATGCCATCGTTGCTGCCGGTGACATTGCATCAATCTTTAGTGCAGACCGACTTCTGACTCGAAGTGATTTCTATACAACAAGAGTACTCAACCTCAGAGAACTATGACATGGAATTAATTGAGTATATTGCCAGGGTCGTTTCTGATCCCCCCTTGAATAACCCATCAACGACTGCTCACAGCAAGAAACGAGTTAGAAGGATTGCTTATGGGAAGAAATCATGTCGGCTGTGTCACTATTTGAGATTGGGGCCGTCGGTTATCTCATGATCGACATTAAACTGGCTATACTGTGCGGCGCAGCTATCCTACACCTCCCGGCGCTTATTGCACCAGCAGCTCCAATCACAAGTGGCAGTATGGAACTACTTGATCAAGTTTGCGCCTAGTGAGACGACTAAGACAGCAGATACTGTGCTATTGGCTGGGGGTAAATATACGTTGAATTGCATGCGGAACAGGACCTCTTCGTCTAATCTGCATAATCTATCTAGATTGCTGTATAAACGGCTCGAAAAGTCCTAATGTCTCGTTCGAGGTCGCTTAAGAATGATACCGGGTTTTCTCTCTTTACGCTCTTCTTGTAAAAAAGGAGGCGAAGTACCTGTCGGGTCTAACATAGTGAAAGTAGAACTCTTGTCTAGGTCGTGAGGTATACATCCGCTCGTACGATGCCTCACCCAACGTCATCATAAGTTGCATCACTCGTTATCATCAGATTCTTCTTCATCTTCCGAGCCAGATTCGGATGCATCATCTTCGTCGTCACCGTCATCATCTTCGTCGTCGTCGTCGGATTCTTCGTCTTCGTCGCCATCATTTTTCAATCCGTAGTCATCTTCAAAGTCCTTCAGTGGCTGCACCGCAGGAGTGAAACCAGCCGCTTCAAGGCCTTGTTTGATTGTCTGTATTGAGAGTAAGTATCTGTAGCCCACAAGCTCACAAGCATTATTCTACGCATGCAAGGGAACTCTTACCTCTTCGAGGACAGGTGCACAGGTGACAACAAGGTTCGCCTTGTCCGGAGCGAACAGCGGCAGGATGATTTCGCGCAAGGCTGCCTTGACGTCTTCGACACTAGTGACTCGTACCTGTTTGAGCGTCTTTTCCTTGTAGTCGCTGGGCAGATTGCGAATGACCTGACGAATGAAGCTGCCCTGCGCCGCACTGGCGATGGTCGACTGCTCGTTGGCGAAGCTGACAACAATGCTGCTGATAGCCCCCTCTAGCATTAAGGGGTCAAAGGGGATTGCACCGGAGAGGTGGTCCTCAACAATCTGTTTACTGGACTCGAATGCCTTGTGTGCATTCGGTGACCGATATACATCGAAGTTCACAAAGCCGGTGTCGATATTATAGGCGAAGTTCGTACCGTAAGCCAAGCCTTTGCCACGGACGGCAACCCAGAGAGGACCTTCGACGGCATTCATATACGCAATGGCAACCAGAAGAGCGGGGAGCTTGGGGTGATCGTACGAGTCAAGACCTCGAGCAGTTGCGTAGGCAAAGGACGAGTCAATCGTCGGCATCGGAACCACATACGACTTTCCACCAGGGGTGCGGCCTGCCTCGCTCAGCAAGTCCCTGCGGACGGTGACGGGCTCCAGAGTGGTCACATCACCGAGTCGCTCAGCATACGGCTTCCAGGATGAAACTGGATTGGGCAACTTGTCAATGTCTGCAATGACCAGAACTCGCATGTTCTCAAACTTGAAAAGAGCTTGCCTGATCTCTTCCATGCGAGCAACAACGGTCTCGGGTTGCTCGGCCAATTGTCGCTTGATCCGCTTAAGATACCGAGCCTTGACCAAGGTGCTCCGCGCCCGCACAATGGATTCAGGCGCGTAGTGAACCATGACATGCACAGCTGCCAGCATGTCATCACCACTACGTTTGGCGTCGGGCACGTCAGCAAGGAGCCGACTGGTGATCGCGCGCAGTCTCTCCACATCAAAGACTGAGTTCCAGGAGAGCTCCTCAAGCCAGGCAATTGCACTGCTATACTTCTCAATTTCAACCTGGAAAGAGATGCGCAACATCTCCGAATTACCCAGGCTTCTTGCACCTTCCATCGAATAGCCAACAGTATCCCTTTCCAATTCTACCACAACTTGTTCGAAATTGATCGTCTTTCCATCCCGTTGGACAGGCAGGTTGAAGAACGCCTCCGTATACACGGACAAAAGGGGACGAAGGTGGACTGGCACCGACTGAGCCGAGATAAGAAGTGAAAGCTGGACGAAACTACTGGGTATATGTTCAAAATGGATGAATAATGGCAGCTCCGAGCCATCGACATCCACCGACTTCTGAATCTTGTTATCCGTGCGTCCGGCTGTCAAGGCAGCGCCGGATCGGGCTGTCGTTGTCTCCACGAAATGGATAGATTCAGTACCAGGGATCTTGAACTTTTCCAGCATCTCTTTAGGAATCTCTTTATCATTTTCGGCCTTTGCCTTCTCCAGTTTGTCGGCCAATTCCTTCAGGCCCTCGGTTCCGAGTCGCTTCTTCTGAGCTCCGACCCTGGCCTCTTCCTCTTTCTTCAAGGTTTCGGACATCTTCTTTGATGGCACGCCAAGTATAGTGACATGTGGTGCATCCGAAAGCCACTTCTTGATGAAATTACGCCATTCATCTTCACTCCACTTCTCCAAAACGTCGTACTCTTGCAAGGTTGCAACGTCAAGCAGCGTTGAGCCATCCTTCTTTCCGAAGAGGAAGTCAGAGATAACATACTCCGCCAAAGAAGACGCAGAGTTCTCGGTAGAAAACTTCCAAGTCCGCTTTTGTCGGTCGATGCATTCTTTCAGATACTTCATATCCAAATCCTTCTTCATGGCGTCATCAAGGACCTCGAAGAATCGTTTCTCCACCTGAGCGAGTTTGGCGGTTTCAACACTGGTCAGAGTGAAGCGGATTTCGACACTTGGATGATCTTCCGTAGCATAGTAGACAGCACTGGCAAGCTGTTCCTTTTCCACTAGAACGTTCTCTAGAAGAGAAGCCGACGACCCAGCCAGGTACAAAAGTGCGACGTTAAGAGCACCGGCTTGTACATATAAGCGATGAATCACAAAAAGGATGAAGACGTGGGGACTCACTTTGTACGGGATCAGTGCAATCAGGACCCAAAAACCTGATTTCTATTTCACCAAAAGATTCGTCCTCCTCGGGGAATTCAACAGTCTTCACAATCGACTTCTCCAACGGAGGGGCTTGCTTGGAATCTACCCATGGTCGTCTGAATGGCGAATCAGGACTTGGAATAACATCCAGGATAGTGTCTTCGAATTTGTCAAGCGTTTCTAGCATATTGTCATGGGCCACCTCACCTGTGATAATCAGACACAGGTTACGAGGTTGGTACATCTCACGATGAAACGCGCGAATTCTCTCCGCAGTGAGAACACGAAGCTGCTCCATCATGCCTCCAGTCTCATAACGAAATCCTACGCCAGGTGGGTACATCAGGCGTCGAGCCGTCAAGTCAATAAGCTCGGCGGCGTTGTTTTGCACTCCTTGCATCTCCGAATATACGACTCCGGCGTCGTTACCGGAGCCGTCAATGTGGTGCACTTCTGTGTAGCAGCCTTCATTTGTCAGAGTAGGCGCAATCACATGCTCCAGGTAGACAGGCAAGATCCGAGAAAACCCCTCCCAGCCCGCTGTGTCCAGCGTGTAGGCTGTGTGATCTGTGGCTGTCCAGGCGTTTGTGTTAGAATACACTCGCGTAGCAAGCTTGTCTAGAAACCCTTTATATCTATAATTGCGCGATCCCATGAAACACAAGTGTTCCAGAGTGTGAGGGGCTCCTGAATCATCCAGGATCTCTGTGGCAAGGACAAAGTACCCGGTCACCTTGGGCCCTTTCTGATCAATGACCACGACTCTCATCCCGGTCCTCTCGGATTCATATTGAATGAACTCGCTCGGCGAGTAGTCAGGCTTGAACCTCTGAAGTAACTTAAAGTGAGTCTTCTGGTTAGAGGATGACATATTGCCGTATGACATGAACGGAAACTCTCTCCAGTTTCCGATCCTCCAAATACTGCTGAACAAATCTCGTTGAGACAATCTGGTACAAAGTCAGTAATGGAAGGACCTTTTAAAGTATGAGCAATGTCTGTCATCGGAAAACAGTAGAGGAATGACTGGTTCAATGAAAGAAACGGGAGCTGCACCCATTCCATGACTGGCATCCAGATAACAGAAACGCAAATATCAACAAAAAAAGAGCGACTGGCTTGTATAATGCTGCGAAGAACACGTTGGACGTGGACTCTTGTGACGCTATGGCATAGCACATGCTTCGAAGCGGCATTGACGTCGATATAACGCGGGACACAGAATCTTTTGATTCTCCGTTTGTGCTCGGTAGAGACAACAAGTGTACTGTACTCACATAGATCGAGTAGGATACGCCCGACTCAGGCCTCGCTGGAAAAGCCGAGACAACACGACGGAGTAAGCGGCGCTAATACTGCTGTTTTAGGTGAAAAAAGAGCTAGGATCCTAGACAGTTGCAGCTGTCGTCGAACTTGAGGATCCTCTGAGAGTGGAGTTTGGGTCCCGTTCCCTAAGATCAACCATGCCAATAGCACACAAGAGTCTCAATAGACGACGTCAACCAGGCGCGAGTGACTGAGGTCTCAGCAATTTTACAGCATTAATAGATGTCCTCAGTGCCAATCAGCAAATCAATCAAATTTTCACCGGTTAGTTTATGTAGGTAGAGTACGGCTCGTGGTGAGACTTCTTCAGCTTATCCAGCTAAGGCGGTGAATCTGACGCTGAAGTCACATGGCGGGGATTGTTGTTATTATGAACAGCAAGGTCGCTTCTTCCAGCTACTACCAGCACTGAAGCTCATAGCTTTCCCTGCCCAGGATATATCATCGACCGCTGCGGGCAGTGTATCGCCCAGTCAGAGCCGGAAGTTACCTCTGGGCTATATTTCAGGACAAGCTCAGACACTAGAGACCGTCGGAAAGATGACTCCGCAGGCGTCGGAGCAGAAGATTTGCCAGTCGGTACTGGATTTCGTCACAGAGGGCACCTTTCCAGGCTCGGAAGATGTCGTATCATCAGTATTTCCTACGTCAGCTCTGGCTAAAGAACTGGAGCTTATATCGAATGCAAGAGAGCAGGTCGAAGTACGTGCTCAATATCCGCAATGTTCAGTCCCCAAAATGCTAATATCTCTACTTTCCACAAGGCTGAAATAAACTCATTGAGTCGAGAGAACGACTTTGATGCCGACGGCTGGATTTCTCAAGCCAAACAGCTTCATGCAGATATTGAGCGATCCAGGCTTACGGCGCGTGAGATTGTTGCGCAGCACGAGAACACTAGGCCCTTGCAGCTGAAGGTCGAAGACGCCTCTGCGAAGGTTCGATTGATTCAAACAGAGATTGCTTTCAACCAGGCCGTGACTAGGACCCTTGAGGAGGTACAAGAGCTTTGCCAGCGACTCAATGCAGGACGGACAGACCTTGCGGAAGGCCGTATCATGGCCGCCATTAACAAGGTGAACGCGGTGGAAGACACTGTACAAAAGGATAGTCTTTTCGCCAACACTACCGTAAAGCACATTTTAGTGCAGAATGTCGCCGAACTGAGGAAACAGATTGCGGAGGACCTCCGGTGTCGCTGGAACAACCTCTTGAAGGTTGACAGACAGGCCGGCAGCTTCGAGGTCGCCAAAAATGACTGTAAGTTGCATCTAGAGAAATCTGTGTATGATTCAATCTGACGGCGATTAGGTGCCTTGCTGGATGATACAATAGCTGCCATGGCTCGATTGGACCTACTTGTCCCAGCAAATGACAGACTGCAGAAGGATCTTCTGTTAGCGATAGTGGAACCGATATTGCTTCCTAATCTGGACGGCTATAGTCGTCTGATCCGTGTTGCAGAAGGCTCGATTCATGTGCAGCCAGAACCAGCCACAACTACTGCCCCGCAGCTGCTCGATCGTGTCTCCGATGTCTTAGGTTTTCTCCGGCAATGTCTGCCTTCGTCCATTTCAGATTCCTTCTCCGACACTTTCGTACCAGCTCTATCCTCCAAAATCATATCATCTTGGCTTTCATCTGCAGTCCCCACAGACCTTGCAGGCCTCGCTGACTTTGAGGCTATCCTGGATAGTGTGTTGAAATTTGCTCAGACAATCGAGACACTTGGATGGCACGGGCAGGAAGAACTTGTGTCTTGGGTGAATCAAGCACCCCGCCTCTGGCTTACTAGGCGGCGAGCTGACTCCCTTGATCAAGTCCGTAAAGTTCTTGCGGGGAGTCAGGGGTTGACAAAGCAAGTAGAACGGGTTGAAAAGGAAGAGGTATCTCAAGCAGATGAAGTACTGTTGGAAAATGCCACTTCAGACGATTGGGACGCTAATTGGGATGACGACAATGGTGACGAGTCCAAGGGAATCCCCTCGGGAACCCAAGAAGATGACGATGATGTCGCTGCTTGGGGTCTTGACGACGACGCTAAGGAGGGCATAGTGGAGACCAAAGCCGATATCTCAGAATCGGCCGACGACGATGATGCAGATGCATGGGGCTGGGGTGACGACGAAGACGGAGATGAACGTGTTGAAAACCAACCACCCCAGGAGACTGATAAGGCGACTCCTGTAATTGGAAGAGATATCGGACATCATGCACCCCGGGAAGTTACCTTGAGAGAGCACTACACTGTCACGGATATTCCGGACTCCATTATGACGATTGTCCGACAGCAGGTCAGGGATGTGGAGGTCATCTCCCAGCCTGGGTAAGTTGCCAATGACTTATGATCTGTACATGCGCTTACAACAACTTAGACACAATCATACGCGTATTGTCTCTTCTGGGGCTGGTCTTCTTGCACTTCCGACGTTAATCCTGGCTATGTTCAAGGCGACGGCACCTTCCTTCTACAGTCTCAAACTCAATGCTGGACAAATGTACCTGTATAACGACAGTTTGTATCTCGTCGACCAGCTCCGGACCATGGTTGAAGGACATAAGCTTTCGCGTCTCAGTTCGGATTTGGATGCACTTGAAAAGTTCGGCAAGCTCGCTTATAGCAAGGAGATGCAGACTCAACGCACTATAGTCACCGACTTGCTCGATGGTGCCCAGGGATTCAGTCAGTGTTCAGAACAGCCGTTCCTTGGGGAGTGCGAAAATGCAATAAGCGCCACTGTTGACAGAATCCGCGATGTCTACAAGGAATGGCAACCGATCCTGTCACATTCTGCGCTTCTTCAATCGATTGGATCGTTGGTAGCCTCCGTCATCAACAAGATTATCATTGATATCGAGGATTTGGGTGATATCTCGGAAGCTCAGTCCCAACGCCTGGTGTCTTTCTGTAATCAGGTCTCTCAATTGGAGGACTTGTTTATGCCAGGGCCAACTGAAGGTATTGAGCGTGTGCCAATGACCGCGGTGTACGTGCGCAACTGGTTGAAGTTCCAATATCTGATAAATATACTGGAAAGCTCTCTTGCCGACATCAGGTTTCTTTGGACAGAAGGAGAGCTTCGGCTCGAATTTTCAGCAGACGAGGTGGTCGATCTGATCGAAGCTCTCTTTGCGGAGTCTGATTACCGACGGAAGGCGATTGCAGATATTAGACGACAGTCTCGGGGATAAGACCTCAAATCGGCCAGCTGTATATAGTTCCATACTGTAATAAAGAGCACAAGAGTGCCTCGATTAACGTAGATATGATTGACTGTCTTCTCTGTTTTCTCCGAATTGGCAGACTGAGCGTGGCCAAACTCCGCGCACTGCGCAAGTGGCCGCATCGGCCGCCGTATTTTTTTCCTCCCTCTACTGTCGACGGCAGCAAGATTCTGATATCGACGAGAATTTTCAAACACGCCTCCTCTGGGATAGCTACCTCCAGAATTTCGATATGAATGACGGCTCAGATTTTGATGCTACTGCGACCTCGTCTGCTGCCCAGCGACAGGTCCGCGTGCAGCTCACCAGCAAACAAGAAGATATTGCGCTGCCAGATAACGCTGGACCAATCTTGGTTCCTACAAGTAGGTCATCCCCTTCCAATGTCATTCGGATAAATTGTCGCAGGTCTGACACGTCTGCTACTACAAGGTTTGCGACGATATGCGCTTTCGACACTGGTGAACAACCTCCTCGGTAACGACAAACCGATCCCATTCGAGTTTTTGATCAATGGTACATTTCTGCGGACTTCGATCGATGAATATCTGACCGCCAACGGTATCTCTGCGGAGACGACTTTGGAGATTGAATATGTCAGAGCATTGATTCCCCCGCTGCACATTGCATCCTTCCAGCATGATGACTGGGTCAGCTCGACTGATGTGCTCTCTGCAACCTCTCCCGCTTCCAGCTGGGCATCAGCAACAATTTCTCAAGGCCAGGAGAAGATCCTTTCTGGTAGCTACGATGGCTTGCTTCGGGTGTGGAACATGTCATCTCAGATTGTCGCGACTTCCCCAGCGGCCGCCGATGGGGGGCATACGGCATCCATCAAAGCGGCCAAATTCGTTACTCCGAACCAGATCGCATCGGCGGGCCTCGATCGTACAGTCCGTCTATGGAAGTATTCTGAGGGTGAAGGAGGGTTCACAGGCACAATAGCTCCCCAGCTCGAGCTGTACGGACACAAGTCTGGCATTAACTCTCTGGCCGTGCACGCACCCTCGAATCGTATACTCTCCGCCTCCTCAGATCATAGTGTCGGCTTCTGGTCGACCAAGAAATCGGACGCCCCCGCCGCGCCAGAGGACCTGCTGCCATCGGCCGCCTCGAGAAGCTCTAAGAGGAGAAAGCTGAACTCTTCCGTGACTGTTCCCCAGCGAGGGCCATTGGCACTTTTGTCCTCGCACACCGCGCCCGTATCGGCTGCTATATTCGATGCGAAGGACTCGACAGTTGGTTACTCGGCTTCTTGGGACCACTCGTTGCGCACATGGGACCTTGTCACCACTACTCTGGTGGACACCCGGACGACGTCTCACTCGCTGCTTTCCCTTGAGCATCTTCCGGAGCTCAGCCTGCTCGCTGCGGGAACATCCGCGCGTCACATTACTCTCATTGACCCCCGCGCATCAGCGACGACAATCTCCGCGTTGACATTGCGGGGTCACACGAACGCCGTCGTCTCCTTGGCTCGCGACCCTCACAGCACATATGGTTTGATCAGTGGGAGCCACGACGGCACATGTCGCATCTGGGATATCCGTGCCACGAAGACCGATAAAGACGGTGTCGTTGGCGAGAGCGTCTACTCCATCTCACGGAAGAGTCTGGAGGAGCAAGGAAAGTCTGATACTAAGCGCGTCGGAGGGGAAGGTGTCAAGGTCTTCAGTGTTTGCTGGGACAAGACAGTCGGCATTGTTAGTGCGGGAGAGGACAAGAGGGTTCAGATCAACCGGGGCGAAGGCGTATTGTCGGCATGATATGTATCGCACATATTCTTTTGGTTTCTTAGTGGAGTACGAAAAGTTGGAGTTATTTTTGTCTCGTTCCAATATACAAGCATGATTTTGTCATGACTGATTTAGACAGCATCAGATTTGTTTTGTAGAGTGGAAAGAGCACGTAACGAAGAGGAGATCTGATCTGCTTTTAGCTTCGCATTCTCCTGCCTACAATATGATACATGGATATAGAAATTTCAAAAGTACATAAGAGCCAACGAGCATAACGCCATTTCCATGCCTTGAAGTATAGCAGCCATCATATCAAAGTCACAGTCTTCTTTCCATACGGTTGAGCTTGACAGCGGTCGAAATCTGTGGGTCTCGTCAGCATGCACTGCCTTCTCTGTTTCCAAATCATAGCACGATGCAAGTCTGTCGCCAAACGCGCAAATGTAAAAGGATAACCCACCTGTGTCCTCGTTCTCTGTCCCCGAACCGGTAATCCCAACGCATGGCGTCTACCCCGGTACGAGCCCGACTCCTTCAACCGCTTAATATCATCAAGAATCTGTCTCCGGAGATCATTCTCAATCTTCATGTCGGATAAAGCAGCTGTGAGGTCCAGAACCTGCTTATTCGCAAGCTCGCCAACTTTGCATGTGGGGTGGATGTGGAAGCGGGCAAGGAGACGTTGAGAAACCAAGGGGCCAACGCCGAAGAACGTCTCGAGGGATTTCTATGTTAAGCGTCAGAATCGGGTTAAGACTTTGTGAACAAACAGAGGTTTGGTCGTCGGGTCTGGGTCTTGAGAATAGAGATGCGCTTGCCTTGACGAGATTCCGCTCGGGGAAATTCACACCCAGAATGAAGACCTAGATTATGGTGAGCATGCATAATTGCGGTGAAAAGAACTTGGGCAATACCATCTTGGTTAACTAGCTGGAATCTGCAGTTTCTAGGACCGATTCCTCTTCCAATTGCGCTGGACTGCTATCATTGATCGCGGTTGATCACCAGGAAGCGGAAGAAATTAGGCTGCAAAAACATTTCTCCGAGTCAACTTTGCAAATTTATTGAAAATTACCGAGACTTGTATCAAACGCTTAATCTCGCTGTACAACTTCGCATATTCTGCTCCACATTGCAGCAGATTTACAGCGGGTCATGTTGAAAAGTACGCAGCTTGCTCATTGAAGGTGTCTTGGCATCTCCGCACGCTATGGATAACTGCAAGCTGGCCTCGACCTCCTTCAATCTCAATCTATCTCACAGCTTTCTCACAGTCATTGCCTGAAATTTACTCTTCCCGGCAATTGTGAGCAAATATGAACTTCAAAAGTCTTCTTTTGTCCTTCTTCCTGGTTTTTGCGGTTGGACTCGCTCTGGTCCATGCCGAGGAGACCACCGAACCACGAGGCCCAAAGATCACAAGCAAGGTAAGCAAGCTCCTGCTTATTGATACACGCATCTAACGATTGGTTGCATAGGTTTTCTTTGACATTGAGCATGGAGACAAGCCTTTAGGAAGAATTGTGCTTGGATTGTACGGCAAGACTGTCCCTAAGGTAGGCATCGCCCCGTTGTGCAGCACTGCTTCTTGGTCTGGACTGGACACTAATGGAACGGCCTGAGTTCAGACAGCTGAGAACTTCCGGTACGATTGTTCAATCAATTGAATATGTTGGCCACCCCGACTAAACGTAACACAGCGCTCTCGCTACCGGTGAGAAGGGCTTCGGTTATGAGGGCTCTACCTTCCACCGTGTGATCAAGAGCTTTATGATCCAGGGCGGTGACTTCACCCGTGGTGATGGTAAGTTCCACATATCAATTGGTAATAGCGTTTGTGCTGACAGTATTTGACTTGTAGGTACTGGTGGAAAGTCGATATACGGCGAGAAATTCCAGGATGAGAACTTCAAGCTTAGGCACACCCGCAAGGGCCTTCTGAGTACGACTCTCCTTGAGCCATTGACTTGACTGTGACCATTCTCTAACTATATCAGGCATGGCAAACGCTGGCAAGGATACCAACGGCTCTCAGTTCTTCATTACCACCGTTCCTACTCCGTAAGTTTACTTTCCGTGATTTCCTTGCCGATCTATACGAGAAGTATACTAATATCTCATGTACTGATAGATGGCTGGATGGCCGCCATGTTGTTTTCGGTGAGGTCCTTGAGGGCTACGAAATCGTGGAACAGATCGAGAATGCGCCCAAGGGTCCTGGCGACAAGCCTGCGCAGACCGTCAAGATCGTCAAGAGTGGAGAGATCAAGGATGAATCTACCAAAGGTAGCCACGAGGAGCTGTAGACCTGTTCCTGGTCAGTCCTTGCTGCTTTGATATGCAATCAAATATGCTGATGGTTGGATGACGCTCAGAACAAGAACCAGCTGATGGGCTCTACGATGGAGAACCGTTAGAAGTATCAACTCTGCCCGAATCTTCCCCTTATTCTCTTCGCAGCGTCGCCTTCCTTTCCATCTTCGTCGCTATGGTTGTCATCGCGGTGAAGATCAGCAAGAAGAAGGCAAAGCAGTTCAATGAGAAGAGCGAGGTCTAGTCGACAATGTTAGTGCTAAACCTCAGCAGTTTATATAGATCCATAAATGGAATGCATATTTCAAAACAAGATATTTAAGCTCGATAGACGCTGTGTGGTACATTTGACCTGCTATAATACAGTCCGGAATGCCTCCAGTAGGTGGTGGCAAATGTCCATCGGATGAGCCAGGCATAGAGTCATAGTAGTGGCAATCTGGAGCATGCCACTTGGGTGGGGTTGACACGCTCGAAAAGCAGCAGATTAAAGCAATACGTACCTCTCTACAGAGTACCTTACTATCTCTTGGTATTAGTAGGTAGTTGTTGAGAATTAACTCAAGCGTAACCCTGTCTTAGGAGGCAGACTGGCAAGAGAAATAAGATACTCAGTTGACTCAGACTATACAAGGCTTGGAGGAATAAACCACATTGCTTTTTGTTGCCTGGATGATACTATTGAGTACCCAAGAGTCGATAGCTTGAGATACTAAGTCGACGTTGATAACCTGATAGTATCCAAGTACATATCTACCTCTCTACCGTAGGTAGTATTCTGTAGATGTGTGTAACTGTACGTGGAAGTGAGCCTTTTCAGCTGGTTCCACAAATACAAAGTTACAGAGTTCTACCTTCCTTGCTTTAAGGTGTGTGAACCTGACCCAGAGAAGACACATGCGCTCCGTAATCATTGCAAAATTTGCCATCAATGATATTGAAGCACATGAAGGATCTACCTATGTACCTAGTAGTTATTTGAACCAAAGGCATTCATGATGCTCATAATAATAACTGATCATGGTTCTATTTAATTCAACAGGAGTAAGATATCTAGGTGTTGTAAGACGGGTGAAAATTCACTAAATAGGGAAAGACTGGGCCCAGCCTGTATGGTTATCTGGATATCCAGTCAAACCCTTTCCTCTCCTTTTTGCCCTTTTTTTTTGCCTCCTTGGTGTCAGTATTTCCATTTTCTTAAAAGTTCTTTCGCCCACAAACCCTTCCACCCCGTCCACTCTTCTCCCCTCCCATCTATCGGCTACTACTTAATCTAAATTTCCATCTTCCTCCTTCTTTCTTCCCCCAAATCTCTCTCCACGTATTACTGTCTTTCTCTTCCTCCCTTTTTCTTTTCTTCTTTTGCAAGATTTGATAGAGGGTTAGATCTGGGAGAACACTGTTTTCAGTTTTTTTTCCTCCCTTCAGGTCTTCTCAGTTTCCAACTTGTGTTACTTCTCTGCTTGAGACCTTTGCTACGTCGCCACTCGACGATAGAGAGACACGATTTTGTTTGCCGTTTCTCTCTTCTCTCTCATCTTGTGCAGATTCTTGATTTCGAAAAGAATCTCAAGCCTTCCTTACATCAGATAATCTCTGAATAGATTGTCTGTATCCCGTTCTCGAGCTAAAAGACCACTAAGCAAACCTTCGATTGTACGTTCACAACCACATCCTCAAGAGTCAACAGATCCGATTATTTCGACGATTCCAAACACTGAACTGGTGAACCGGCTTGCTCATTTATCTGATACAGTTTCAAAAATTACCGCAATCATGGCCGACGGCTTGAAGATGGGAAACCTGTCCCTTAACGAATCCCAGCATGCGCCTGCTGGTCCTAACCCTGGCAACGGCCGCGCTGCCTACATCCCTCCCCATCTCCGTCAGCGCACCATGGGCGCCAACGTCGACGGTGCCGCTGCTGCTCCTCCTCCTCCCGGTCCTGCTGCTGCTGCTGCTTGGAATGGCCCAAGGTATGTATTTTGCAATCCCTTCTAAAGTCTCAGTCTTCACGAGTTCCTTGTCAATGTTCATTTTGGCTGACCGTGGCATACTTCTTACAGAAACGGTCCTCGCGGTGGCAACTGGGCTAATGCCAACGCCTCTGATTTCAGCCCTCGTGCTCCCAATGTCCCCAATGGTAACAACAGCTGGACTCCCACGGAAGCTCAACGTCGGCCCTTTGATCCACATGCTTACGGACACCCAGGGCACGGAGCCTCCTACGGCGGCTCTCAAGGCGGTTCTGCCAAAGGCTCTGGAGACGGCCAGTGGCGCGATGGCAAGCACGTCCCCGGTCCCGCAAACGCCCGCCTGGAGCGTGAGCTTTTCGGTGTTCCCAACGATCCTACCAAGCAGAGCACTGGTATTAACTTCTCCAACTACGACGACATCCCCGTCGAAGCATCTGGTCAAGACGTCCCCGAGCCCGTCAATGCCTTCACGAACCCCCCGCTGGATGACCACCTGATTTCCAACATCAAGCTCGCTCGCTACCTGACCCCTACTCCCGTCCAGAAGTACTCCATTCCCATCGTGATGAACGGTCGCGATCTCATGGCCTGCGCTCAGACTGGTTCCGGAAAGACTGGTGGTTTCCTGTTCCCCATTCTCTCCCAGGCTTTCCAGACAGGTCCTTCCGCCGCGCCTGCTCAGGCTTCGGGTCAGTTCGGCTACGGCCGTCAACGCAAGGCGTACCCTACTTCCCTGATCCTCGCCCCCACTCGTGAGCTTGTTTCTCAGATCTTTGACGAAGCCCGCAAGTTCGCTTACCGCTCTTGGGTTCGCCCCTGTGTCGTCTACGGTGGTGCCGATATTGGCTCTCAGCTCCGTCAGATCGAGCGTGGCTGCGATCTCCTGGTCGCTACCCCCGGTCGTCTGGTTGACCTGATCGAGCGTGGCCGCATCTCTCTGGTTAACATCAAGTACCTGGTTCTCGATGAGGCTGATCGTATGTTGGACATGGGTTTCGAGCCCCAGATTCGCCGCATCGTAGAGGGTGAAGACATGCCTAACGTCAATGAACGCCAAACTCTGATGTTCTCGGCCACTTTCCCTCGCGATATTCAGATGCTTGCCCGGGACTTCCTGAAGGAATACGTTTTCCTCTCTGTTGGTCGTGTCGGCTCTACCTCTGAGAACATCACTCAGAAGGTTGAGTATGTCGAGGACCACGACAAGCGTTCCGTCCTTCTTGATATCCTTCACACTCATGGCACGACCGGCCTCACTCTCATTTTCGTGGAGACCAAGCGTATGGCGGATGCTCTGTCCGACTTCCTGCTGAACCAGCGCTTCCCTGCAACTGCTATCCACGGTGACCGCACCCAGCGTGAACGTGAGCGTGCCCTGGAGATGTTCCGCTCCGGACGTTGCCCTATTCTGGTTGCTACTGCTGTCGCTGCTCGTGGTCTTGATATTCCAAACGTCACCCACGTCATTAACTATGATCTTCCCACCGATATTGATGACTACGTTCACCGCATTGGTCGTACCGGTCGTGCGGGTAACACTGGTATCGCCACTGCCTTCTTCAACCGTGGCAACCGTGGTGTTGTCCGTGAGCTGATTGACCTTCTCAAGGAGGCTCATCAAGAAGTGCCTTCCTTCCTGGAGAGCATTGCTCGCGAAGGTAGCGGATATGGTGGACGCGGAGGCCGTGGAGGCCGTGGTCGTGGTGGCAATGCCAGTCGCGATGTGCGTCGTGTGGGTGGTAACGTGGGCGGTGGTGCTCCCTCCTTTGGTGGCGGCAGCTACGGTGCTCCCAGTGGCAGCAGCTATGGCGGCGGCGCTGGCGGCTACGGTGCTCCCCCAGCCTACGGTGGTGGCTACGGCGGTGGTTATGGCGGCGGCAGCTACGGAAACCCCTCGGGGCCAACTGGACCCTCTTCCTGGTGGTAAATTACCTAGGAGGTTGTGGTCCCTGGCGAGGCCGTCGGGTCTGAATGGCTCGTCTTCTCTCATGCCTTTCGTCTGATGGTTACGATCGAAAACGAGTCCTGAAGCACCTATCTTCGTCCTTCCTTTTCTCACCTTTCTATCGGGACTGGCTTTGTCACGACCGCCACGACTTCCTCTCTTACAATTTCCTATGTTATCTGATTCCTCGATTTGGGTTTGTGGGTTTTTTTTCTTTATCTGCTGAGCATTTCGCGATTGCTATTTTTCGTTCGCCTTTTCCGTCTTAGACATGGGACGTTCGATGCGGTCCGATATCTCCATCTCGCTGCTCCGAACCATACATTCGGTATGGATAGAAGCGCCTTGATCGGCATTGCATGATTATCATAGATCGCGTTGAATTTCCTGCTACGACCGTCTTTTTCAGATACCCTTACCTGTTTTTCAAGCGTCCATGTGGAGGTACGCTTGAACGATGCGCGCCGAGCGGGAGTGCCGGCTTTTCGTCTTCAGAAAAGTACTTTTTATGGTTTTCATATGCTCGGTGCTATTGCAGCTGCATCGACTGTGTCTTGCAACATAGATCTCTATGGTTTCGGTATCTAAAGGCGGGCCTGTTCTGTGTCTTTTGTCTTTTTCCTCGAATTCTTACTCGCACGTGCATGTGTTATTCCTGTTTTTGTGGAAATCGACGCTTTCTTCTCCGAGCTGTGTCATTACTTTCCATCGACTCTGAACGGTTTTTCCGGGTCTGCGCATCCACACCGCATGAAAGAGGCGAGTGCACGCGGCAATCGTGTTCACGGGCCTTTTTCCCTTGTGTGTGCTTCCCTTTTTCTTTTACCGCGGTGCATAAATTACTCGATGCGAGTGATATAGATGGGATTATTTGCATTGTGTATGGCGTTGACTTGAGCTGCTGTGTCCACACAATATTCTCTGCACTGGGGTCCGTGGAGGCTTGACAATTAAATGGGAGTCTTTTGTGTTTCATTACTCGGATCCTCGGAGGGGGTAAAGCTGTGGTTTCTGGCGCATTGATGTTCATGCTGGTTCGGAGGCATCATCGTTTACAGTCAGAAGCAGCTTGGGGCTTTAGGCCTTCTAACGGCACGGCGTAGCTCACGGAGACCCTTTGTCTCGAGAGAAGAGAGCTACCTTACTATCAATTAAAAAGTTCTATTTTGTCTGTGTCATTGTAGCTTCTACGCGACGATCGCATAACTGTGTTAATGTTTCGGTAATTTTCTCGATTGGACTTGATGGTGATGAGCAGTGACAAGTTCCTTCTACTCTCCTGCGTGGATGGAATGTGGGTGTTATTCCCTCTTTGGGTATTCCTAGTGGTTTGCAAGGACTGACCTCAATGCACAGAATAATAACATCATTGACCGTAAACTCCCAGCCTCCTCTTCCTCTCTCAACACCAGAATTAGCATATATGTGTCTGAAATGTTGTGTTTCTGTAACAAAAGAGGTCAAACTTGACATATCCGGAGTAGGTACGTCTCAAGGGCCGTATACACTCAGTCCTTACATAATCCGGGGCTTCATCTTTCTATTGTTGAGCATGTTCGCATTGATAATAGAGGAATGGCGAAATCCACAATGAGTCATTTTTAATTCGAATATTTTAATCATTGGATTGCATAACATCAATTACGGCGATCAGGACCTTATATCAAATACATCTCATTGTGAGGTAATAATAGGGGAAGACGGAATGATTAAAGGGCAATACCTAGTAGTAGACCTCTGTATACCAAAGCTGCGGCAAGGCAAAAGATCCCGGAAGGAAGCCAGAAAGAATTATCGGCACCAGAACACCCACAACGCTCCTTTTGCCTTTGCTCGAACCACTTTCTTTTCTCTTCATCCAACACCAGAATCCATCTTCGATTATATTTATCATCGTCGCATCCAGCTCTCATCTTCATTTTCATCTCCAACCCTCTGGAGTTTCTCTCATTCTTCCTTGACTCTAGCTATAAACTTGTGGCATCATTTCCTCCCCTTAAAATAGCTACACGCTTCGCGGTCCTCGATAACCCAAGTCTGACAGCGTGTGACGCCCCCCCCTGGGGCACGAATCAACAATCCACCACTTCTGACCATTCGCGACAGTGGATAATTTCTCCATTGATAATAACCTACCTCTCGAGAAATTGCTGCATTGACGGGTCCCCTTCGAAGATGGCCGACGTCGAAAGCAACGTCGCAGACGAGTCGTTTGCGCAGTCCGAAACCCAGGACGAGCATCCCTCGCACAGTACTGTCAGCGCGACGGTCGGCATCAGGCGTCAGGCGAATGGCACCATTGGCTCCGTCTACTCGGGAAACAAAATCAGGCATCTGAAAAAGGAAGATGGCATGCCGCTCTGGCGCAAGGACATCCAGTACCAATTTCTCAAACTTGTCTTCGAGGACAAGACCCCGGTCTTCACTCGCTGGTCCGATGGCAAGAAGAACTTGGATTTTGCAGATATTTACATCGATGCGATGGCGAGGAGCAGTAAGACGAGCAAGATTCTCAAGGACAAACTGCAGAGCGATAAGCAAGCCGCCATCAACATGGCGATGGTTTGTCTGCTTGTTAACTTTGGGAGGATGAATACCACTTTGAACTGTATGGTTTTGCCCTTCTCTTTGTCTCCTCACTCAGCCCTCTTCGCGGTCTCATTCCTCCCTAAACCCTCCCTTAACTTGTGCCATTGCATCGCGAGACTGACTCGGAGACAAATCTAGTTTTCCCAGAAATGCGCGCTCAACTACGGACTTATCACTCCATTCCTTCCTTGCAGGCACACCAGGACCCCAACGCATATAAGCAGCTTCAGGATGCTCCTCGTCTCAAATCCATCCTCAAGGGTGCATCAGAGGATGTTGACCAGCCGAATACGCTCGAGAAGATCAAACGTCATCCCATCCCTCGGACTAATCCGGTGCATCTCATCTTCGTCCTCGCACAATACGCCCCCAAGGTGTCCGAATTGCACTTCTTCCCTCCCCGTGATTTCTTCGACTTGGTCATGAGATCCACGCTCAGCAGTAAGAGCCGTGCAAGGGCTTTCTTATGGCTTATGTGGTGGTATTTGGAGAGTGATTACTCGCGCGAAGCCGCCCTCAACAACCCATTCGGCCCGGGCCAGGATGGTGAAGGAACCGAGGGCTTGCCAATCAAGGTGCCTAGCTTCGAGAGCCTCACGGAAGAGCAGGCAACCGAGGAAAACGTGGATACGCCCTCGGAAATCGAATATGGAGAAACAAAACGCTTGGAGCGTAAACGTAAGTTCATGCGATGTTATCTCATTTTCCGGTCTTACGTGCGGGTGCTGACGTTGTCATAGGCATTCTGGAAGAGGACGAGCCATTGCCCAGGCCGCCAAAGCGTCCACGAAAGGGTAATTCCGACCATCTCCCTTCGCGACTTCGAATATTCTTAGGCTAACCGCTTTTCTAGCTCCGTTTGACCCCTTAAACAGCGACAAGGTGGTTGCGGGAGAAGGTCCTTCGTGTAAGTTCAGTTCAACGATCCAACATGTGTAATCATTCGTTAACCGAGATTGTCTATGAATAGACGAAGATTATAATGGAACCAGTTCTATGCGGCCGCCTTCCAAGCGTCCAGCGGATCAAGATGAAGGCTATCTGACGCCTACTCAATCATCGCGTTCTGAGTCCAAACGACCCAAGCGGGAGTCGTCTCTCAACCGCTCGGTCGGTCAGCAGCGACTGATTTTGAAGACTAAGATGGAGCAGACCCCCGACGCGTCCTCGCCGGCCCCTCCAGGATCAGGTCATCCGATTCTGAATAGATTCGTGACCGAATCCACTATTGGTCAGCCTCCCTCAGCTCGCCGCCCTCGACCACTTACCCAGCACCAGTTGGCTGTCGAACAAAATCGGCGCCAGCGTATCGATTACCTCCTGGCCAAGCGTAAAAACGAGGCTTACCGGATTTTACGAGCGAAGAGAGAAAGCGAAATCCCGTTCGCACGCTACGGTCGCTTGTTGCAATCTCTTCCGGAAGGTTACGACACTGAGGACGAGGCCTCATGGGGCAAAGGTGGCTTGATCCCTCACCAGGAGGAAGAAGAAGACTTTGGAGAGTCCGCGGGCTACTTTTTATCTGTGATTCGTAAGGCGACCAGAAGGCTTGACCGCTGGGATTACGAAAACGCGAATGGTCCGAAGAGAGATCGCAAGAAAGAGAGAGAGGAGCGCCAGAAAGCCAGGCAGAACGGCTATGCCATGGATGCCCTTGACCTGAGTGGGCGAGCCTCGATGTCCGCTCGTAGCAGAGCCCGCGCTGCGCGCAATGCCAGACGAAAGCTCGCCGAAGCAGAGGCCGGTGCTGCTGGTGCTGCGGCCGGCGGCGAGGCCTCCAAGGGGCAAACTGCTTCGTCCTCCCGCTCCAAGAGCAGCCGAAGTCGCCCTAGCCGCGCTGCTGGTGGGGGCTCTTCAGGTGCGGCAGGCAAGGATGATCTCGATGTTCCTTCGCAAGACCAGGAGCTCTCGCTGTTGCCTCCGTCCATTCGTCTAGCCGATGAGGACGCTGATCTCGACGGCGAAGGTCTTGACGACCTGGATCGCGAACTGCTAGGTGAAGGAAGCGGGGATGAAGATGACGCTGCGGATCGCGACGATCGATCTTCGCGTCCAGCAGAACCTGGTTATGAGGACAGTTTCATGGGTGGTGATGCGGATGATGACGCCGAAGCGTTATCATCTGATGACGAAGTTGACGATGAGGAGGATCTCGACGACGGAGATGGTGGAGTCGATGTGGACGAAAACTCCTCGACTTTCGAGGGCGGAAATGGATACGCTGCCAGCGAGACCTCTTCTGTTGCTGGCGATACTACCGCTGTCCTAGACGATGGCAAAGTCTAGTAGAAACACCGCTTTCATGATTTGGCGCCCTCTTGGAATGCTCTTTCTTACAAGTCACACTAGACGTTTCATATTCTAGCACTCTGTTTCTTACTTTGGCTTCCTCA